AGTGAAGGTGGTGTTTGTTTACATTATTTATATAAAAATCGTCAATTTCAGGAACGCCAAATTCTAGAGAAGGCGCGTCAAGCTGGGCCATGGCCGGACAAATGGGAGCCAAGGTGGCCAACCAGGAGGCACCTACGGCTGCAGGACCCATGAAGGGGAAAGGACCCCTAGACCTGCGCATGGTTGCTGGCCAGGAAGAGGCCCATAAGGGAGTCGTCCTCAATGGCGGCCATCCGTTTTTTAAACGGATTATCCGTGACGTCATCGGCAGCATTGGGTGAGTCATTTTTTATAATTAAACTATCGAATTTTTAATTAATTCCATGAATATCTTTTCTAGGTAGTCAAGTCTGGACACCACTTTCACCTGGAGGTCATCATTTATCAGCTGCTGTTTTTTATTGATTATTCTGTTATTTATTTTATTTTTGCAAATATATTGCGGCCCCTGTTGGCGGCCAGGGTGGGCGTGGGTTTTTTCAGCACATTTTAGGGGGCGGGACCTGTCCATAGATGGATGACCCCGAGAAGGATGACCCTGCGAGGATCCCTGACCCCGAGAAGGATGACCCTGCGAGGATCCCTGACCCCGAGAAGGATGACCCAGAGAGGGATGACCCCCAGAAGGATGACGGCGTTGGTTCTTCCCTTTTTCTTTTGTTTTCTCTTTTTGTGGGCGGAGAGGCACATGCCTCCTCTTACCCGTTGCCCCCTTCGCAGCCCATCTTCTCTTACCTTTTGGTTAGACGGGCAACCCTTATAGCCACTTGTGTGGTCCCCGTTGCAGTTGCAACAACAAGCGGGTCTGCTTTTCGGCTTGGTGCATGAAGATGTAGGGTGTCCACCTGCACACTTCATACACCTGGGGCTATTTCTGCACCCATAATGGGTGTGTCCAAACAGTTGGCACCGGTAGCACTGGAGCAACATTCGCTTCCTATTGTGCCCGGTATAACCTACCAGCCGACAGTCTTCTTTTATCAAGGAGGGCATCTGCTTCAGAGCGGGGGGCAACAAGGGTTTATGGTTCCTCACCGACTCTTTCCCGTCTTTTAGGCAGCTAATAGCTACAGCACTCTCGTATGCTGGGGTCCATGCAATGGTGTGGTAGGGGGTATGCAGGAGGGGGAAGGGGGCAGCAGTCTCATAGTAGCATGAAGTCTATATTCTCGTTGCAGGCGCCAAAAATTGCTAGGATGCGTCCAGTTGCCGCCAAAAAATAAGATCTGGTATGTGTATGTGTGTTTTCATTGGTTTTTGTTTGTGTTTTTATTAGTTTGTGTATGTTTTGTTTGTGTTTCGTGTTGTTTATTATGTGTTTAACAATGGTGTTTGGTGTATGTTGTACATGGATTATAAAGTTAAGTAGTGCCAGTCGTTGCTTTTATATACATCACGGCCATTTTCCAAATTAATATCACAGATTTTTGAAATAAATAAATGAATATAATACGAATTTGATGACTTTACTTTATAATGGCACTACATATATAATAAATTAAAACATTACTAGAACAAACAAAAAAGAAGGGGCAGCCGCTTAGCCTTATAACATTGCAACATTTAAGGTAAGAAAAGCTGCTGAGGTATTACCCAGGAGGGCAACTTTTTTCCCGCCAACTTTTCTCTGGTATTACGGATTTGCGGTTATCTGGTAACATTGCAAAAGAATATAAACATCTCATCTCTAGCATTAATTGCACATCACTGGTGCCGAAATATCATCCCTATCTACTATTACCATCTCTACTATATCACAGCTTTGGCGAGAAAAATGCATTGGTAAGTCCAAATTTAAAAACAAGTTAAATAACATTAAGAAACAATTTAAAATTTACAGTAACATGAAAAGGGAATTCAGCGGATCATCAAAGCTGGTCATTAGGAGTTGGCAGCGATCTTGGAGCCGTCGTCAGTAAACTTCATGAGGCCGCCGCACACACATATTGGCCAACTACGAGGGATGGTGTGCCAACCAAATTGGAGCTGGTGGATGCTGTCGCAGGAACATGGAGGACAACAGGTGAGTAAATAACAGGTGGTTTCTCTTCTTACTGTTAAAAGAAGGGGAGGGGTCATAAATTGCGTCATATTTTTAATATCATATTGTTTATAATTTCAGATGGCAGAAGGAAGAGGAAGACGGCAACAAGTGACGCCGCCGTATCCATGGCAATGCCGTCATGGTGGCGCCGCCGGATCAGCGCAGCAAATTCTCACGAAGAAGCCGGCGCAAAAACAAATGTACGGCGCCGACATGGCATGGACGCCGACAAACGCTGCAAATTTTCAATAAAGGAACGGCGCCAACAAAATGGGCAGCGTAAAGCCCAAATAGTAGCGCCGGCGTTTGTGTTATTTGACGCCGAATAAAACCGGCAATTGGACGCAGCAGATGGTGAGTTTTAGTGGCAGAATATTGGCTTCATTTTCTTATTTCTCTTTCTCATTATTTTAGCAGCAGATGCGCAGCCGACAGACGCCGGCCAAATTTATTTGTTATTCAGCCACTCGTCGGGAAGGTTCCATGGTAAGTGTTTATAATTTGTTTATATTATTTTCTCTTCTAATTTCCTTTTTATTTTAGATATCCAAAACATGAGGCAGAGGACGGACGCGCATCATGCTGTGCCAACGTGGGAACATGGACCAACGCTGGACATCTCCGATGGACCAACGAGGGACCAACGCGGGACATCGACGGTGGACCAGAGAGGGACGACATCGGTGGGTGGCTGCAGGCGCTAGTGCATGGCCGCCACAGCTGCTGGACCCCGATGAGGACGCCGAGGGAGGATGGTCACAGTGAGTAGCGCCAACGTGGGACCGTTCAGTGAAAGCCGGCGCCATCATCGCAAACCTAGGCATGGCGTCGGCTGCGGTGGCTGCCGTCGTGAAATTGGCCACAAACGACTGGGGCATGCTGCCGCCGTAAATGGATGCGCCTCACAGTGACCACAGCAGCGATGGATTATAAATTATTCAGGTACGTAGTGAAGGTGGTGTTTGTTTACATTATTTATATAAAAATCGTCAATTTCAGGAACGCCAAATTCTAGAGAAGGCGCGTCAAGCTGGGCCATGGCCGGACAAATGGGAGCCAAGGTGGCCAACCAGGAGGCACCTACGGCTGCAGGACCCATGAAGGGGAAAGGACCCCTAGACCTGCGCATGGTTGCTGGCCAGGAAGAGGCCCATAAGGGAGTCGTCCTCAATGGCGGCCATCCGTTTTTTAAACGGATTATCCGTGACGTCATCGGCAGCATTGGGTGAGTCATTTTTTATAATTAAACTATCGAATTTTTTAATTAATTCCATGAATATCTTTTCTAGGTAGTCAAGTCTGGACACCACTTTCACCTGGAGGTCATCATTTATCAGCTGCTGTTTTTTATTGATTATTCTGTTATTTATTTTATTTTTGCAAATATATTGCGGCCCCTGTTGGCGGCCAGGGTGGGCGTGGGTTTTTTCAGCACATTTTAGGGGGCGGGACCTGTCCATAGATGGATGACCCCGAGAAGGATGACCCTGCGAGGATCCCTGACCCCGAGAAGGATGACCCTGCGAGGATCCCTGACCCCGAGAAGGATGACCCAGAGAGGGATGACCCCCAGAAGGATGACGGCGTTGGTTCTTCCCTTTTTCTTTTGTTTTCTCTTTTTGTGGGCGGAGAGGCACATGCCTCCTCTTACCCGTTGCCCCCTTCGCAGCCCATCTTCTCTTACCTTTTGGTTAGACGGGCAACCCTTATAGCCACTTGTGTGGTCCCCGTTGCAGTTGCAACAACAAGCGGGTCTGCTTTTCGGCTTGGTGCATGAAGATGTAGGGTGTCCACCTGCACACTTCATACACCTGGGGCTATTTCTGCACCCATAATGGGTGTGTCCAAACAGTTGGCACCGGTAGCACTGGAGCAACATTCGCTTCCTATTGTGCCCGGTATAACCTACCAGCCGACAGTCTTCTTTTATCAAGGAGGGCATCTGCTTCAGAGCGGGGGGCAACAAGGGTTTATGGTTCCTCACCGACTCTTTCCCGTCTTTTAGGCAGCTAATAGCTACAGCACTCTCGTATGCTGGGGTCCATGCAATGGTGTGGTAGGGGGTATGCAGGAGGGGGAAGGGGGGCAGCAGTCTCATAGTAGCATGAAGTCTATATTCTCGTTGCAGGCGCCAAAAATTGCTAGGATGCGTCCAGTTGCCGCCAAAAAATAAGATCTGGTATGTGTATGTGTGTTTTCATTGGTTTTTGTTTGTGTTTTTATTAGTTTGTGTATGTTTTGTTTGTGTTTCGTGTTGTTTATTATGTGTTTAACAATGGTGTTTGGTGTATGTTGTACATGGATTATAAAGTTAAGTAGTGCCAGTCGTTGCTTTTATATACATCACGGCCATTTTCCAAATTAATATCACAGATTTTTGAAATAAATAAATGAATATAATACGAATTTGATGACTTTACTTTATAATGGCACTACATATATAATAAATTAAAACATTACTAGAACAAACAAAAAAGAAGGGGCAGCCGCTTAGCCTTATAACATTGCAACATTTAAGGTAAGAAAAGCTGCTGAGGTATTACCCAGGAGGGCAACTTTTTTCCCGCCAACTTTTCTCTGGTATTACGGATTTGCGGTTATCTGGTAACATTGCAAAAGAATATAAACATCTCATCTCTAGCATTAATTGCACATCACTGGTGCCGAAATATCATCCCTATCTACTATTACCATCTCTACTATATCACAGCTTTGGCGAGAAAAATGCATTGGTAAGTCCAAATTTAAAAACAAGTTAAATAACATTAAGAAACAATTTAAAATTTACAGTAACATGAAAAGGGAATTCAGCGGATCATCAAAGCTGGTCATTAGGAGTTGGCAGCGATCTTGGAGCCGTCGTCAGTAAACTTCATGAGGCCGCCGCACACATATTGGCCAACTACGAGGGATGGTGTGCCAACCAAATTGGAGCTGGTGGATGCTGTCGCAGGAACATGGAGGACAACAGGTGAGTAAATAACAGGTGGTTTCTCTTCTTACTGTTAAAAGAAGGGGAGGGGTCATAAATTGCGTCATATTTTTAATATCATATTGTTTATAATTTCAGATGGCAGAAGGAAGAGGAAGACGGCAACAAGTGACGCCGCCGTATCCATGGCAATGCCGTCATGGTGGCGCCGCCGGATCAGCGCAGCAAATTCTCACGAAGAAGCCGGCGCAAAAACAAATGTACGGCGCCGACATGGCATGGACGCCGACAAACGCTGCAAATTTTCAATAAAGGAACGGCGCCAACAAAATGGGCAGCGTAAAGCCCAAATAGTAGCGCCGGCGTTTGTGTTATTTGACGCCGAATAAAACCGGCAATTGGACGCAGCAGATGGTGAGTTTTAGTGGCAGAATATTGGCTTCATTTTCTTATTTCTCTTTCTCATTATTTTAGCAGCAGATGCGCAGCCGACAGACGCCGGCCAAATTTATTTGTTATTCAGCCACTCGTCGGGAAGGTTCCATGGTAAGTGTTTATAATTTGTTTATATTATTTTCTCTTCTAATTTCCTTTTTTATTTTAGATATCCAAAACATGAGGCAGAGGACGGACGCGCATCATGCTGTGCCAACGTGGGAACATGGACCAACGCTGGACATCTCCGATGGACCAACGAGGGACCAACGCGGGACATCGACGGTGGACCAGAGAGGGACGACATCGGTGGGTGGCTGCAGGCGCTAGTGCATGGCCGCCACAGCTGCTGGACCCCGATGAGGACGCCGAGGGAGGATGGTCACAGTGAGTAGCGCCAACGTGGGACCGTTCAGTGAAAGCCGGCGCCATCATCGCAAACCTAGGCATGGCGTCGGCTGCGGTGGCTGCCGTCGTGAAATTGGCCACAAACGACTGGGGCATGCTGCCGCCGTAAATGGATGCGCCTCACAGTGACCACAGCAGCGATGGATTATAAATTATTCAGGTACGTAGTGAAGGTGGTGTTTGTTTACATTATTTATATAAAAATCGTCAATTTCAGGAACGCCAAATTCTAGAGAAGGCGCGTCAAGCTGGGCCATGGCCGGACAAATGGGAGCCAAGGTGGCCAACCAGGAGGCACCTACGGCTGCAGGACCCATGAAGGGGAAAGGACCCCTAGACCTGCGCATGGTTGCTGGCCAGGAAGAGGCCCATAAGGGAGTCGTCCTCAATGGCGGCCATCCGTTTTTTAAACGGATTATCCGTGACGTCATCGGCAGCATTGGGTGAGTCATTTTTTATAATTAAACTATCGAATTTTTAATTAATTCCATGAATATCTTTCTAGGTAGTCAAGTCTGGACACCACTTTCACCTGGAGGTCATCATTTATCAGCTGCTGTTTTTTATTGATTATTCTGTTATTTATTTTATTTTTGCAAATATATTGCGGCCCCTGTTGGCGGCCAGGGTGGGCGTGGGTTTTTTCAGCACATTTTAGGGGGCGGGACCTGTCCATAGATGGATGACCCCGAGAAGGATGACCCTGCGAGGATCCCTGACCCCGAGAAGGATGACCCTGCGAGGATCCCTGACCCCGAGAAGGATGACCCAGAGAGGGATGACCCCCAGAAGGATGACGGCGTTGGTTCTTCCCTTTTTCTTTTGTTTTCTCTTTTTGTGGGCGGAGAGGCACATGCCTCCTCTTACCCGTTGCCCCCTTCGCAGCCCATCTTCTCTTACCTTTTGGTTAGACGGGCAACCCTTATAGCCACTTGTGTGGTCCCCGTTGCAGTTGCAACAACAAGCGGGTCTGCTTTTCGGCTTGGTGCATGAAGATGTAGGGTGTCCACCTGCACACTTCATACACCTGGGGCTATTTCTGCACCCATAATGGGTGTGTCCAAACAGTTGGCACCGGTAGCACTGGAGCAACATTCGCTTCCTATTGTGCCCGGTATAACCTACCAGCCGACAGTCTTCTTTTATCAAGGAGGGCATCTGCTTCAGAGCGGGGGGCAACAAGGGTTTATGGTTCCTCACCGACTCTTTCCCGTCTTTTAGGCAGCTAATAGCTACAGCACTCTCGTATGCTGGGGTCCATGCAATGGTGTGGTAGGGGGTATGCAGGAGGGGGAAGGGGGCAGCAGTCTCATAGTAGCATGAAGTCTATATTCTCGTTGCAGGCGCCAAAAATTGCTAGGATGCGTCCAGTTGCCGCCAAAAAATAAGATCTGGTATGTGTATGTGTGTTTTCATTGGTTTTTGTTTGTGTTTTTATTAGTTTGTGTATGTTTTGTTTGTGTTTCGTGTTGTTTATTATGTGTTTAACAATGGTGTTTGGTGTATGTTGTACATGGATTATAAAGTTAAGTAGTGCCAGTCGTTGCTTTTATATACATCACGGCCATTTTCCAAATTAATATCACAGATTTTTGAAATAAATAAATGAATATAATACGAATTTGATGACTTTACTTTATAATGGCACTACATATATAATAAATTAAAACATTACTAGAACAAACAAAAAAGAAGGGGCAGCCGCTTAGCCTTATAACATTGCAACATTTAAGGTAAGAAAAGCTGCTGAGGTATTACCCAGGAGGGCAACTTTTTTCCCGCCAACTTTTCTCTGGTATTACGGATTTGCGGTTATCTGGTAACATTGCAAAAGAATATAAACATCTCATCTCTAGCATTAATTGCACATCACTGGTGCCGAAATATCATCCCTATCTACTATTACCATCTCTACTATATCACAGCTTTGGCGAGAAAAATGCATTGGTAAGTCCAAATTTAAAAACAAGTTAAATAACATTAAGAAACAATTTAAAATTTACAGTAACATGAAAAGGGAATTCAGCGGATCATCAAAGCTGGTCATTAGGAGTTGGCAGCGATCTTGGAGCCGTCGTCAGTAAACTTCATGAGGCCGCCGCACACACATATTGGCCAACTACGAGGGATGGTGTGCCAACCAAATTGAGCTGGTGGATGCTGTCGCAGGAACATGGAGGACAACAGGTGAGTAAATAACAGGTGGTTTCTCTTCTTACTGTTAAAAGAAGGGGAGGGGTCATAAATTGCGTCATATTTTTAATATCATATTGTTTATAATTTCAGATGGCAGAAGGAAGAGGAAGACGGCAACAAGTGACGCCGCCGTATCCATGGCAATGCCGTCATGGTGGCGCCGCCGGATCAGCGCAGCAAATTCTCACGAAGAAGCCGGCGCAAAACAAATGTACGGCGCCGACATGGCATGGACGCCGACAAACGCTGCAAATTTTCAATAAAGGAACGGCGCCAACAAAATGGGCAGCGTAAAGCCCAAATAGTAGCGCCGGCGTTTGTGTTATTTGACGCCGAATAAAACCGGCAATTGGACGCAGCAGATGGTGAGTTTTAGTGGCAGAATATTGGCTTCATTTTCTTATTTCTCTTTCTCATTATTTTAGCAGCAGATGCGCAGCCGACAGACGCCGGCCAAATTTATTTGTTATTCAGCCACTCGTCGGGAAGGTTCCATGGTAAGTGTTTATAATTTGTTTATATTATTTTCTCTTCTAATTTCCTTTTTATTTTAGATATCCAAAACATGAGGCAGAGGACGGACGCGCATCATGCTGTGCCAACGTGGGAACATGGACCAACGCTGGACATCTCCGATGGACCAACGAGGGACCAACGCGGGACATCGACGGTGGACCAGAGAGGGACGACATCGGTGGGTGGCTGCAGGCGCTAGTGCATGGCCGCCACAGCTGCTGGACCCCGATGAGGACGCCGAGGGAGGATGGTCACAGTGAGTAGCGCCAACGTGGGACCGTTCAGTGAAAGCCGGCGCCATCATCGCAAACCTAGGGCATGGCGTCGGCTGCGGTGGCTGCCGTCGTGAAATTGGCCACAAACGACTGGGGCATGCTGCCGCCGTAAATGGATGCGCCTCACAGTGACCACAGCAGCGATGGATTATAAATTATTCAGGTACGTAGTGAAGGTGGTGTTTGTTTACATTATTTATATAAAAATCGTCAATTTCAGGAACGCCAAATTCTAGAGAAGGCGCGTCAAGCTGGGCCATGGCCGGACAAATGGGAGCCAAGGTGGCCAACCAGGAGGCACCTACGGCTGCAGGACCCATGAAGGGGAAAGGACCCCTAGACCTGCGCATGGTTGCTGGCCAGGAAGAGGCCCATAAGGGAGTCGTCCTCAATGGCGGCCATCCGTTTTTAAACGGATTATCCGTGACGTCATCGGCAGCATTGGGTGAGTCATTTTTTATAATTAAACTATCGAATTTTTTAATTAATTCCATGAATATCTTTTCTAGGTAGTCAAGTCTGGACACCACTTTCACCTGGAGGTCATCATTTATCAGCTGCTGTTTTTATTGATTATTCTGTTATTTATTTTATTTTTGCAAATATATTGCGGCCCCTGTTGGCGGCCAGGGTGGGCGTGGGTTTTTTCAGCACATTTTAGGGGGCGGGACCTGTCCATAGATGGATGACCCCGAGAAGGATGACCCTGCGAGGATCCCTGACCCCGAGAAGGATGACCCTGCGAGGATCCCTGACCCCGAGAAGGATGACCCAGAGAGGGATGACCCCCAGAAGGATGACGGCGTTGGTTCTTCCCTTTTCTTTGTTTTCTCTTTTTGTGGGCGGAGAGGCACATGCCTCCTCTTACCCGTTGCCCCCTTCGCAGCCCATCTTCTCTTACCTTTGGTTAGACGGGCAACCCTTATAGCCACTTGTGTGGTCCCCGTTGCAGTTGCAACAACAAGCGGGTCTGCTTTTCGGCTTGGTGCATGAAGATGTAGGGTGTCCACCTGCACACTTCATACACCTGGGGCTATTTCTGCACCCATAATGGGTGTGTCCAAACAGTTGGCACCGGTAGCACTGGAGCAACATTCGCTTCCTATTGTGCCCGGTATAACCTACCAGCCGACAGTCTTCTTTTATCAAGGAGGGCATCTGCTTCAGAGCGGGGGGCAACAAGGGTTTATGGTTCCTCACCGACTCTTTCCCGTCTTTAGGCAGCTAATAGCTACAGCACTCTCGTATGCTGGGGTCCATGCAATGGTGTGGTAGGGGGTATGCAGGAGGGGGAAGGGGGCAGCAGTCTCATAGTAGCATGAAGTCTATATTCTCGTTGCAGGCGCCAAAATTGCTAGGATGCGTCCAGTTGCCGCCAAAAATAAGATCTGGTATGTGTATGTGTGTTTTCATTGGTTTTTGTTTGTGTTTTTATTAGTTTGTGTATGTTTTGTTTGTGTTTCCGTGTTGTTTATTATGTGTTTAACAATGGTGTTTGGTGTATGTTGTACATGGATTATAAAGTTAAGAGTGCCAGTCGTTGCTTTTATATACATCACGGCCATTTTCCAAATTAATATCACAGATTTTGAAATAAATAAATGAATATAATACAAATTTGGATGACTTTACTTTATAATGGCACTACATATATAATAAATTAAAACATTACTAGAACAAACAAAAAGAAGGGGCAGCCGCTTAGCCTTATAACATTGCAACATTTAAGGTAAGAATGCTGAGTAAGGTATTCCAATACAACTCCACTTTTCTCTGGTATTACGGATTTTGGGTTATCTGGTAACATTGCAAAAAATATAAACATCCATCTCTAGCATTAATTGCACATCACTGTGCCGAAATATCATCCCTATCTACTATTACCATCTCTACTATATCACAGCTTTGGGAGAAAAATGCATTGGTAAGTCCAAATTTAAAACAAGTTAAATAACATTAAGAAACAATTTAAAATTTACGATAACATGAAAAGGGAATCAGATCATCAAAGCTGGTCATTAGGGGTGGCAGTGATCTTGGAGCCGTCGTCAGTAAACTTCATGAGGCCGCCGCACACATATTGGCCAACTACGAGGGAGGTCGTGCCAACCAAATTGAGCTGGTGGATGCTGTCGCAGGAACATGGAGGATAAGGTGAGTAAATAACAGGTGGTTTCTCTTCTTACTGTTAAAAGAGGGGGAGGTCATAATTTGCGTCATATTTTTAATATCATATTGTTTTTATAATTTCAGATGGCAGAAGGAAGGAAGACAGCAAGTGACGCCGCCGTATCCATGGCAATGCCGTCATGGTGGCGCCGCCGGATCAGCGCAGCAAATTCTCACGAAGCGGCGCAAAAACAAATGTACGGCGCCGACTG